AAATGCAACCAAACACCCATTTTACGTACCAGCACACGACGGAAGGCAAAAAAAGCGTCGTCTCTCTCCACGACGCAAAACACTGGAGCGAACGACGACGGCGAGGCGCACCGGCACCTGGAAGCTCCGCGCAGGGGAGGTTGCATCCGCACCGTCGGGGGAGGTTGCCCTCGCCACCGGTCCGCTTTTCGCCCCGCTTCGTCGGTCCACGCCGCGCCGGGTTGCCACAGATCTCGCCAATCCAAGCGTCGCATGCGAGGGGCGGCGTCGGCGCGATCGGGAGGTGCTCCCCCGCCGAGCGCAGGTACGTACTAACGCCCGTGAAAGCCCTCGAGGTAGGGGGAGGGGGAGCACTCATCCTCGTCGTCAGTGAGGGAGATCTCATCCCATCGCATGGATTTGGACCTACAGGCAGAGGGGAAGAATGGGGCGGCATCAGGGGAGAGAGGGGCCACCTCCGGTTGCGGCGGAGCACCGCAGGATCCCACGAGCGACGACCCGGTGGCACGTCGCACCCCGGACGACCCGCCGCCACCGGGCGATTACAAGGCCCAGGCCGCGCACAAGACTGGCGGCGATCGCGCCAAGCGTTCTAATGAGGAAGGAGGAGCACGGCGGAGGAGGAGGTGGGGACGCGACTCAAGCCACGCAAGATTTATTTAAGCGGCGTCGCATTATGGCCGCCCATGCAGTGGTGGCGCCATGGCAGGCGTGGCGCACCGATGGAGAGGCCCGGGGTGGAAGAAGGGGGGGACGGGAGGGAGGCAGGCGGCGCAGGAGGTGGGATTTGGCTGCTCAGGGTCAGTTGTTGTTGGAGAAGGCGAGATTTGGGTCCGTGACCCTTTCACTGTAGGTGTCCTATACTATTGAATGGGTATCGTGTTTGTGTTGTTTCTGTTGGAGACAGTCTTATAAAAAAAAAAAAAGGTCGCCAGGGGTCTCGCTCGCAGCGTCGTGGCGTTATCCCTTATCCGTTCCGCTTCTAGCCGTCGCGTGCTCCGCCTCCCCTCTCGCGTTGGAGGTAGGCCGTGCTCCTTGCTCCTCGTCACGACGTCCTGTAAAAGCCGTGGTACGTCGCCCGGCCCCCGGACCCGGGTGGGCGGTGGCGGCCATGGAAAATTTTGCCGCACCAGCACGCAGGCTGGTACCGCCGCGGCGTCGTGTAATAGTAGTAGGCTTTTGACACCCGCGGCATGCAGCGCTCTACGATTAGGCTTAGAGGGAGTTTTAATTTTTAATTAGAGGACCTCTTTCCGTTCATTTCGTGTGACCTGTCTGCTTCTCTTTCTTTTCTTAATTAAACAATCCTAAAAAAACCTGAGCTACCGAATAGTTGACGAAATCATCATCTCGTATCTACCATAAATAAAAATGATAAATTTGCTAAATCTTAGTATAAATCTAGAAAAATATGAAAAACCTATGGACCTGTTTGGTTGAGCCGTGATTTCTGAAAAAAGTTTATATGAGTTGTGGTCTATTAAAAAACTGATGTGAGTCGTGGGCTATGAGAAAGTTAAAAGCCGTTTGGTTGCACAACGATGGCTTCTAAAAAATGCTGTCGGTGGCCTCACATGTCATATGTGACCCCTCCTGTCAATCACTGAATTGTATATTTCTTCTTGTTTTCTGTGTATTTTCTTCTTCCTCCTTGGTTCGTCGATCCACACGGAGACCAGGAGGCCGCGCGAGGGGTGGTGCTTTGACGAGGGACGCTGGTGGGGGCCTTGCCCGCACTCGCCCGATGGAGCCCACGCATGGCGACGAAGGCATGGTCCACGCCCAAAGAAGCGCCGCGCTCCTAAAGGCCTCTTTTGGCAGCCGTCGATTGCAGGAGGCGTCGCGTTCCCACTCGCCACCTCCACATGCTTTTCTCTCCTTTTATCTCTCTGTTTGTTTGATGCTGGCTGTGGCGGCATCCTCGTCGCCCGCCGGTGGGAGCCATCTTGATCTGGACCTAGGCTTCCTCTCCTCTAGGGGCTAACCGCGCTCGTGGGAGCTGGCCGCGTTTGGGAAGACGTCGCATTGAGGCAGCTGCAGGGTTGGGTGGGAAAGAGACGCCGTGGACGGGAAAGGGGAAAAAGGCTTCCTCTCCTCTAGGGGCTAACCGCGCTCGTGGGAGCTGGCTGCGTTTGGGAAGACGTCGCGTTGAGGCAGCTGCAGGGTTGGGTGGGAAAGAGACGCCGTGGACGGGAAAGGGGAAACCCCTCTAGGGGCTAACCGCGCTCGTGGGAGCTGGCCGCGTTTGGGAAGACGTCGCATTGAGGCAGCTGCAGGGTTGGGTGGGAAAGAGACGCCGTGGACGGGAAAGGGGAAAAACGTACCGATACAGAACAAAACCAATGGTAGGTGGATAATTTTCGTGAAGACTTGGAAGCCACAATAGGTGAAAGTAGGGGTGAGGCTGTTGTGAAATTTGTACTAGCCAAAATCTTTGGGTGGAAGCCACCCCTTTGGTTGGCATTTGTTTTTAAAAAGCTAAAACATGTTAAAAAGTCAAACTAAAGAGGGCCTAAGTTGGTAAATTCCATTGCGTCGTCGTAGAGTTCGTGTAAGTCTAGCGACATCTATTTCCCAGCCAGACCAGATTTGAAGGTTTGAAAGTATTCTCTCTGTTTATAAATATTTAATTTGAAAACTTTTCAAACTTTAATCATAGGAAGTTTCTAAGATATTTAGTTTGAAGAACATAAGAATTATATGTATCAATTTTTCTTGAACTCTTGGTAAATGCTTTCATTATTTATTACTAGATATTATAACTGTATTCTACCCCACCGTCCACAAATATAAGAACTTTTCATATTTAGACTAGTTAATTACAGTAGGATTTAGGAACTGTCCTGAGCACTATTAGTTGCGCCAGTCAGGAGGTGACCGGACAGCTTTAATGAGTAGCATAAAGACTATTCGCTCTTGATTAATTTGGCCTCATCAAAATCTTAAAAGTCCATACATTTGCGGATGGATGGAGTAAAACAAAAATAATGGCTAAATATGAAATACTTTGTAACCGGAGGGAGCAGCTACTACTACTACTACCCCATCCAAACTCTAGCGTTGGCTTGACGGATTGAGGGTTCCACGCATTGATGGTTTCATCACCCAAGGAGATGGAATGGCGGAAAATTTTCGTTTAGTCAATCCATACGCACACTATCCTAGCTCATAGAGCTTTGCAAACTCTCCCACTAAACAAAAGCCTGTCAACAAACATTAACAAACACTTACACCATCGTATCGACCAAAAACAAAACGCTACTTTTTAGGGAAAAAAACATTTATACATCAACAGGAGAATTCAATTACAGAAATAAATTTATAAGTCCTGCTTAGAATGTGAGTATTTTTTTTCATTTCTATATTTTCCTGTAAAATTAATCTGATTCCACTAAAGTTGTATTGTATACAAATTTTATAAAATTTATTTATGTATTCCAAATGAACATTATACTCCATCATACGGCCCCGTTCGCTTGGAGGATTCTGGATGAATTTGGAGAAATCTGTGAGAGAAAAATACTGTTCCGGATGAAAAAAATAAGTGGATCAAGCCAGGTTTAAAAGCAAGTGGGTCTTTCTGGACTCCCCGTTGACCATACCACACATGGACAAAGAAAACGGAGACCTGCCTAACAGAAGCTTCTCTCCCACAAGATTTTTCTCCTTCCGGATATAAAATCTCCATCACCTCTTCCTTTTTTCACAACATCCAAACAAGATTAACAACATCCAAATAAGATTCGTTTTCAAAGAGCCCAAATGACGACGTGGCAGCGCACTAAACTCCGGGGGTAGTTGCGTAACTTCCCACCCCCAACTGAAACCTTCAAGGGGCAGCGGCAGCCGCAGCCGCTCGCATCCAACGGTCCCAACCGCGTCTCCCCCACCCGCGACGCTCATCCATGAACCAAGCCCTCCATCCGCCGCGGGATTCACGAAAACGCCACTGGCCTAATTAGCGAGGGGGCGCGAGGGTACAGGCGTCATTTGGCTTGCTTTGTCCTAAACATTTTTTTCCCACTGCCTAGTAACGGATCAAGGGGGGCAGGGAGAAAAAGACACGGAGATATGGGGACGAGGGGAGCGGAGAGGTTTGAAATGTGAGGGAGAAGCAAAAGCCTCCAGAAAAGAAAAAATAATCTCGGTTTCATTTTTGCGTCTTCCGTTTTCGATTTGGAGGAGCGGCGGTTCGGAGTGGGCAGGCTCGCTGTTGGTTCTTGCAGCGGCGAGGCAGAGGGGGTGTGCGGTGCGGCCGTGCGGTGCTGTTACTCTGGTGATGATTTCGTGGCCACCTGCGTGCGCTGCTGCTGCTGCTAGTACGCCAGCGCTTTGATTCGGCAGAGGCTTTGCTTTGGTTTCGGGTTCTTTCGCCTTTCCTTTGGCCAAAGATTGCAGCTTTCGCAGCCGCAGCCTTTTCTTCTCCGGCCGATTCCAACCTTGGCCCGGCTATTTCCCCTTCAAAAATCGCGCATAGGGTCGGGGTTTTACCCGGCCCCGTTGTGCGGGCAGCGCTCCTTGGGCGTGCGATTGCCGCTTAGTTGAGCTCCAGAACCTGGATTTTTGAGAGATTTCTGAGGAATTTTGAGCCTGGTGTGGAATTTGGGGGTTTGGGGGTTGCCAGTTTTCAGCCCTTGGAGAGTTAGAGGCTATTGCCTCTGAAGTTATCGCCTGTTTTGATGCGAAATGGGGAAATTTCTGGTCCCTGTGCTGTCCGGCTATTGGATTTGGCGAGTTGGTGTTTGAGCCCTGGTATAAATCACCGGTCTGTGCTGGTGGCCTTTTGATTTCCCGGTGGTGATGCTCTCTGCAGCCGCCGTGATGGCGCCGGCAGCAGCTACACAGAAGAGCTCCCTTGAGGTCTTGCTTGAGACTCTAAAGAAGCGCGATGAGCAGCCCAAGGATGCGCCTCAACATTGCCAGCCCGCCCGACGTGCCGTGGCCGGCTGCCCACCACCAGACGGCCATCACTGCCTGCTGGCTTTAAGCTCGAGAATGGCATGGCAACAGTTGCTGCCACAGAAGTTGCAGTGGTTGACAAGAAGGCAGATGCTAAGATGGAGATTGCTGGGCTGGAGGCCAAGGAGGAAAAGCCGGTGAAAGGCTGCATCTTTGGGACTAAGAGGAAGTTCCCTAACACAGAAGCGCTGGAGGAGTCGCCATATGTTGATGAATTTCATGAGGAGAGGAAGGGTACTGCAGTTTGTAAGGATCCCCCCTCTGTTTCCTCGGCAACAATAAAGACGAATGGGAAGCCAGCATGTACAAATATCATGGACTATGTTCTCCAGAAGGTAAGAGGCTTGTTCATTGTGGATTTTGTAAGAATTATTTCTATTATTGCAATGTGAACAAATGGAAGTAACCTGAATACTTTGTCTAACATGATGGCAAAATATCATTCATGAGTCAAAACAGGAAATGTTCATCAAAGTGTAAGCTTACATGTGTTTGTTATATGCTGAATTTATAGACCCCTTTTTCTTAAAGATCGTTTCTTTATGATATGTGTGAATAAGACTTTCATGTGAAATAGCAGTTATGTTTGGGTTATGCTGAACTTACTGTTGTTTCACATTTACCAGAAGATACAGTAGTGGTCGCTTAATGAATTTTCCAGGTCTCATACTGTTGTTTATTACATCCACAAATAGTTTGGCATGTTTGTTTATTACATCCACAAATAGTTTGGCATGTCATGTTACTTTAAACCTTATAAGTATGGATATTGGGTGAAAGAACCTGTTGTTTTTAACCTTAGGATGTATGGATACTGGACAATCAGAAAGTGTTGTTTCTTACAGCAGTATAGGTCTCAAGGAACTAGTTCTCTTATCCCTTGATGGTTCGAGTTTGATATTTCTGAATTTATATTGTGATTGGAAGAACCATACGAGATAATAATTTTTGGACTTTTTTCAGAAGCTACGAGTTTGGTGTTCTTCACCAAATGCAAAGTGGGAACTTGGACAGATCCAATCAATATCTGGAGATGATGCTGAAATACTCCTGGCTAATGGAAAAGTGAGTGTCTTATATTGCCATGGCGATATAGTCATTTGGGGAAACTCCTGTACAATTCTTACTCAATGTTTATTTGCTTAGGTTTTGACGGTGTCACCAGAACAACTCTTGCCTGCCAACCCTGATATCCTCGATGGAGTGGATGATTTAATCCAGATGAGTTACTTGAATGAACCTTCAGTTCTTTACAATCTGCAATTGCGACATTCTCACGATCTTATCTATGTAAGCACTATGCAATAGTTTCATCGTGCTATATAAGAGTATATATATGGCTTACTCTAGGTATCCTCACTTGTGTGTACTTTACTTTGTAGACAAAGGCAGGACCTGTTCTGATTGCTTTCAATCCATTAAAAGAAGTTGCACTCTATGGGAAGTCTTCAATCATGCAATACAAGCAAAAGACCAACGATGACCCACATGTGTATGCAGTTGCTGATTTGGCATTTAATGAGATGCTGCGAGGTAGGTGCTAAAGAGTAAAGAGAACAGTTATGATTTATAATATTTTTCAAGAACTGTCTTTTAATGCAACTCCTGATACTCTGCAGATGGCGTAAACCAATCTATAATAATAAGGTTAGTATGCCTTATCTTCTTCTCTTAAACCCTGGGGGTCTGGATTACAAAATTTAAATATGCTATCTGTGCTCCTTGTCACATTTCAGTGGTGAAAGTGGAGCAGGAAAAACTGAGACGGCTAAAATTGCAATGCAATATTTGTCTGATCTTGGGGGTGCTAGTGGTACGGAGTCTGAGGTTCTTCAGACCAATGTTATTCTGGAAGCATTGGGGAATGCAAAACATCACGAAACCATAACTTTCGAGCCGATTTGTGAGTTTATCTTCCTGTATCGTTGCCACACTGTCCTCCGCTAACTTTCTGGAGTTATTCTTATGGTGCTGTGATGATTTTGATGTAGGGCAAGTTTATTGAAATACACTTTTCTGAAACTGGGAAAATGTGTGGTGCTAAAATCCAGACCTGTAAGCCTTCTCTACCATTTATTGTTTAAATGGCTAGTCACGATATCTTTGAACTCCCTGTTAACTTATTTCCTTGGCTGTGCATGTACCTCTTACTGAATCTCATGGGCCAGTCCTGCTTGAGAAGGTAAGGAAATTCATGCATTGCTAACAGATCCATATTTTATTATTTCTGCAAGGTCTAATATGCTCTGTCTTCCCCTGTAGTCGAGGGTGGTTCAAAGGGCACAAGGAGAGAGATCTTACCATATTTTCTATCAACTGTGCTCTGGAGCTCCTCCACTTCTCAAAAGTAACCATACCTTCATGTTTGATGTGCTTATATTACAATTTAAGTGTTTCAAATGGTGCTTCTGTCAAGAAAATTGTGTGCCACATTCTGCCTGTATTACATCTTATACGTTTTAGTGTGATCTGTGAAACTATCTTCATCTTCCCTCTCTTTTTCTCACTTCCTAATTCCGTTACATGCACATGCTACTGCAGAAAAATTGTTTCTGAAAAGCGCCAGTGACTACAATTACTTGAAGCAGAGTAATTGCTTGAAAATCGATGGTGTTGATGATTCAAAAAAGTTCACAGTGCTAGTGGTAATGTTACTGGAAAATCCAAATAACTTCTCCAACCAAAGCTGTGCTAGTATTTTATCTTATTTGCTATTTATCCTTTGTTTCATGTGCAGGATGCATTGGATACTATTCAAATATCTAAGGAAGACCAAATGAAATTATTTTCTATGCTTGCAGCTGTCTTGTGGCTGGGAAACATATCATTCTCTGTGATTGATAATGAAAACCATGTGGAAGTTGTTTCAAACGAAGGTATAATTCCCGGTGTATATAATTTCCATTTATCTCTTTGCCTTATCCAGTAGAAAATGTCCCCAAAATGCAGACATTTGATTGTGTAATGTATTCACAGGGTTGGCTACTGCTGCAAAGCTATTAGGCTGCACTGCAAATCAACTAGTGACTGCTATGTCCACTCGTAAAATCCGAGCTGGAAATGACAGTATCGTTAAAAAGCTGACATTAACTCAGGTATGTAGTATCCTGAAAAATTATCTGCATGGATCTATTGATTTGATCTTTTAGAATTTTATTCAAGATTTCTAATTTCTGTAGGCCATTGACGCAAGAGATGCACTAGCAAAGTCAATCTACGCCAATTTATTTGACTGGATTGTTGAGCAAATTAACCACTCACTTGGAACGGGGAGGCAATTTACATGGAGATCCATAAGTATTTTGGATATTTATGGGTTCGAGTGTTTCAATGTATGGAATATTTGCATTTTGTTTAGTACTGATTTACTTGGCATTTCCTGAGTTGTAACATTTGGTTAAACCATTACAGAAGAATGGTTTTGAGCAATTTTGTATAAATTATGCCAATGAGAGGCTGCAGCAGCACTTCAACCGACATCTTTTCAAACTACAACAGGACGTAAGATTCTAACAGTTCCTTGCATTATTTATGTTAGCATCAAAGATATGAATGAATGTGAATTGTATTATGCATGATTTCTTCCTGCAAAACAGTATCAGGTTACGTTGTTGTGTACTAAAGATGTAAACGACCCTGCAAACTTTGCCACTTGTCATAACTAGGAGATGTGGTCACATGCTGAAGTTGCTCTGTCTAACCTGAGTTAGATATGAATGGGCCAATGTGATCTGAATATTATTTATTTTGTGGTTTGCCTTTCGAGTGATTCTGTGCTTCTGGGGACAGAAACCACTTGGATGTCTTGTAGCTGGCACCAGGATTCCAAATCCAAGTGGTTGTTAGTTATGATCAGCTACCCAACTTATTGTTATGGAAACCAGTCAACCTTTGTGAAAATGTTGACATTTAGTGATTATCAAAGGAGAAGTCAGAAAAAAGTTATTCTAGAAAACACAAAAACCTAGAAAACCGCAAGAAGCAACTGGTTTCTGATGTGCCGGCAAGGCCCTGATACTAGTTCCAATTCTGTTTGAACTCTGGTTATGATTATTTGTTCTGGTCCACTGTGCACATGACCTGCTCGTTTGCTTTTGGATCCATTAGCCAGCATTATCTTTCTTTTCATAAAATTGTAGAGCGGCTTCCCTTGTTTCCATGTTTCTGCTCCTGCAATATTTTCCTTGGACCTTCTGTGTCAGTGTATCAATATGCTCATGCTGGCTTTGTTCCACTTCCAGGAATACTTGGAAGACGGAATTGATTGGACCCCCGTGGAATTTGTGGATAACACTAATTGCTTATCCCTCTTTGAGAAGGTATGCAACATTTTTTTCATGCAACCCTGTTACATATGGATCATATATTCACTGTTTCTATGTGTAGTTTAAATAGTTTTTAAGCCTGATATCGATAAACATATGTATTGTAATTGCTTACCTGGCATGTGCTGAAGAAACAATGACTGAATTTTAGGCTTCTATGGCTGTTTGGCCCCATTCTCATATGCTTTCTGGTTCCAATCCTTTTCTTTTAGTATATACAGGTTATTGCCCTTCTAATTATCTTGATATGCAAATCCGTTGTGCTTTGCCTTTTCAGTTATGCCGAAGTTACTAGAATGCCTTAGTTTTTGAGCTTATTACAGCAGAAATGAGCACCTCCTATATAAAATGAGAAACAAAAGTTGGAACAGATGGAAATATCCTTAAGTGGAGTTACTCCATATTTTGTTCTATAGATAAGACTATAAGAGAACTATATATATCAGAAAGCGAGTGTAATTATTAATGTTTAAGTGGAATCACTGAAGAAAAATGTGCCATTATCATGGTATCATGTCATATTAATATTATAAGCTTTACTATGTAAATTTGTAAGATAAGATCCGTATATGTACTACTGTACTCACCTTTTTGTTACATTGCAGAAACCTCTAGGGCTATTGTCATTATTGGATGAAGAGTCTACTTTCCCAAAGGCAACAGACTTTTCCTTTGCTAACAAGCTTAAGCAGCAATTAAGTGGTAACTCTTGCTTCAAGGGTGAAAAAGAAGGCACATTTAAGATTTGCCATTATGCAGGGGAGGTTGGTCAATCCTCGTCTTGTTTTATCTTTAAGCTATTTCTAATCTCGAACATCCTCCAGATGTGCAAGCTTGCCCATTCAGTTGTCAGTTATGATAATTTGCTGTTGAAGCTCTTCTATATGCAACATGATCACAGTCCTGATTTTGATTCCAGGTGACATATGATACAGCTGGGTTCCTGGAGAAGAACAGAGATCCATTGCACTCTGAGTCAATCCAACTACTATCATCATGTAAATGTGAACTTCCAAAACATTTTGCCTCTGTCATGGTTGCTGATTCTCAGAATAAATCAAGTCTGTCATGGCATTCAGTAATGGATACACAGAAACAAAGTGTTGTAACGAAATTTAAGGTACTGGTTCAAATCTTTCATTCTTTTATCTTTACAGATAATATTGTCGAAAATGGTTCTCTAGATATCTATGCTTTGTGTTGTATAAGTTGTATTCAGTTTCTTGGTAGTTCTTTTAGTTCTTTGTTTCATAATACCTTAATGCCTTTCCCTGTCATTCTTATATAAAGTTGTATTTAGCCATCCCAATGCTCTGTTTTGTATTCAGGCTCAACTGTTCAAGCTGATGCAGCAGTTGGAGAGTACAACCCCACATTTTATTCGATGCATTCAACCAAATAGCAAACAACATCCCAGGTTATTCGAGCATGATCTTGTCTTGCACCAGCTTAAATGCTGTGGGGTGCTTGAAGTTGTTCGGATATCAAGAACATGCTATCCAACTAGGATCACTCACCAACAGTTTGCTGAAAGGTTGCTATTTCATATAATCTGACTTAAAAAATGTACTTGTTTATTTGTTTGATACTCTAGCCTACCCCAACTTGCTTGGGGCTGAAAGGCTATGTTGTTGTTGTTGTTGTTTATTTGTTTGATACTGTGTGCCACTTGACTGACGATTTGTTCCATAATATGCAGATACGGATTTCTTCTCTTGCGTTCCATTGCATCTCAAGATCCACTTAGTGTTTCAATTGCTGTTTTGCAACAGTTTAACATTCCCCCTGAAATGTATCAAGTTGGCTACACGAAATTGTTTTTCCATACAGGACAGGTACAATAAATCGACTATTCCAAGTTCTAATCTTTTAAATCCTAGAGTAGACCCTCAACCAGCTGCACTAGCATACAAAAGTTTTAGGGCAGCCACAATGTGAGTAAAAAGGTGACCTTAAGCCATAAATACACTCCTATGATGCATCAGATACATTGTGCAGTAGACCATAGCAAAAAACAATTAGTCTCTCTCTCTCTGCCCTATGTTTATCGCTCACAGGAAGTTAAGGATCTTTTTTGGAGCGTGGTCCCACCTTAGTGCTCATCTTCTGCAGATGGAAACAACAAATGCTTGTTTTCTGTGGGCCCTACTTTAATGCTATTTTGAACTTCCAACATTGCCCTTGCCCTTATAGTTTGGTTTAGCTTGCGATCACAACTGCTCTTTTTTGTGAGTGTGGTTTCTAATCTTGATTATTCTGTAGGTTGCTGCACTGGAAAATGCTAAAAGACAGATGCTTCATGGAAGCCTCTGTATTCAGAAGCACTTCCGGGGTTTGCATTCTCGACAGGGATATCAACGACTAAAGAAAGGGGCAATGAATTTGCAATCATGTAATACACTTTATTTCTTTTTGTTCAAAACATTCCTGAATTCTAATAATATGAACGTCTATCATACTCTTCCTGTTTTCCAAACTGCAGTTATACGCAGTGAAAGAGCAAGAATACACTTTGATAATCTTGTCAAGAGATGGAGGGCAGCTGTTCTTATACAGAAGTACACTAGGCGTCGACTTGCAGCTAACATGTTTAATGATCAACTGAGTCATATCATTCTTCTTCAGTCCGGTAATTTATATGATAAAATAAAAGAGGTCATATTAACATTACCCTAGAGTAGTGCATCTATCTAATCATGTGCTGTCATATGTTACTGCAGTGATGCGTGGGTGCCTGGCCAGAAGGAAATACAAGTGCCTGCAGAATGAAAAGGAGTCAAAGGCCAGTCACAACATAGTTCAAGGGGACACAAGGAAGAATAATTCCGAGTCAAGAATTTGCCATGTGAGTTTTATACCAAAGGATATCTATACTTTTATCTGTTCCAATCTTCTAATGCGCTAGCTGCATATTGGTTTCATCCAGTACTGAATGAGAAGTACATATAATCTGAAAGATCTGCTACCGCTAACGCTAATAGACAATCTTCATCTGGAATTTGCATAAGCATGGTTACTTACTAAGTTTACTGAAATTTCTGTTATTGTGATATCCAACTGTATTCTAAAGAACTTGAGAAGTTCTCCCTGTACAAGATATAGAATCTGTTCAGCTGTCTAATACATAGGTGTAAAAGGTATAGTAGTTCCTAACATTGGCATCCAATGGCAGGAAATGAATGGGCATTATCCTCACGAACCAGTCATCACTGAGCTTCAGGGTGCATTCAAAGCTGAGGCTGCATTGCGGGACAAGGAGGAAGAAAATGTAATGCTAAAACGGCAATTGGAACAGTATGAGAGGAAATGGTCGGAATATGAGGCCAAAATGAAATCTATGGAAGAGGCATGGAAGAGACAGCTCTCTTCTCTGCAGGTAATTATCTAGTTGATTATTCGTATGCTTGCTTGTATGTTCAAAGAATGGATCAATATATTCTTGCAACATGAATTCATCTGTTTAAGAATGACAGACTGCAACATAACCTCCTCATGCGATGACATACGAAAATATTCAAGAAATTTTCTAATGGTGTGTTAAACAAAATAATGAGCAATTGCTCTGATATTGAATTTTATGGTACCTGTCTAGCATAGAAGCCAGATGGCTGATCTGTTAGAAAATACACAGCAACAACAAAGCCTTTTAGTCCCAAGCTAGTTGGGGTAGACTATAGTCGAAAACCAACATGAGCCTCCAACAAAAAGGGAAAGGAAAGAGAGACCAATCAAATATTCTTAGAAAATAGTGGTATATAATTATGTGGCTTGAGTTTTCTTTTTAATTATCCTTCAGAAGACGTATTCATTTGGATTTGTTCCTATTTATTCGTGTCAGCTGAGCCTTGTTGCTGCTAAGAAGAGCCTAGCTGCTGATGATGCAACCACTAGAGCCGCTCGGACCGATTTTACTCCAACACATGCCCAGTATGACTCTGAAGACACATTGTCCACTGGGACCCATACACCTGAAGTGATAGAGTCGAGACACCACAACCACAACCCTGAAGCTAAAGTTTCAGCAGGAAACTCGGATAGGCGAGTAAATGCTGTGAACCACCTAGCAAAGGAGTTTCAAGACAGACGGCAGGTGTTCGAAGATGATGCAGGCTTCCTTGTTGCAGTCAAGTCCGGTCAGGTTGGTTCAAATATGAACCCAGACGAGGAACTCCGGAAGCTCAAGGACCGCTTTGCGACATGGAAAAAAGATTATAAATCTCGGTTGAAGGAGACGAAGGTAAACCTTAATAAGGTTGGCACCCATGATGAGAAATCGCGGAAAAGATGGTGGGGAAAGAAGAGCTCGAAGTGAAACGTGCAAGAGTCCCCACAACATTTTTCCACCACTGGGTCAAGGAAAGTGACCAAGAATGCCAGGGCAGGCGAGAAGAATCTGCCTCAGGTTCTTTTTTCATCGCAAAAGCCTGGTGAGATGATGATGAACTCCATTGTTGGTGGCGGTGCTGTTACTCGTCTGATGTTGCGAGTGTCAGAAAGATCAAATTAGCCAATAGGTGAAGCTAGAGTTCTGTACATGTATATTAATTATTAGTTCCGAGTTGTCACTTGACAGATCGTGTATGTAGACTGATAAATCTGAGGTGTGGAAGGGTAACTAAATACAGATTATCCACCATGAGCGAATAGAGATGCGAAAGCAGAGTATTGTAAGATGTGTACAGTAAGAAAATTGTTGAAATGTGCAAGCCATTTTACTCTGAAAACTGTGATTGCATCGCGCCATATTCTCCACTATCATTTGAGGTCTTTACACTTACACAGCAGTTTTTTTACAGAGATAAATCCAGCTTTTATAGAGAGCACATAATGTCACCAGTACTGCAGTACAAACACACACCAACACATGCTGGAGAGTGGAGATAACAGCTTAGAAGCAAACGCACAAAAGAAGAGAAACAAACTTGAAACCGACCAGAGTTCAACCCAAAGCTACTACCAACCTTCATAGAGCACAAAAAATCAGGCTTCACAATGCAAGCAAACCATCCACACACTAGTCACAAAAGAAACTCAATCACCCCTTCCACTTCCAAGCCTTAAATTCGCTTCTAGAAGTTCATCATCCAACTTCTCATCTGCTTTACCTTGTCGTTCAAGTGCTTGGCATCGTGCTCCTTCAAAAGAACCCGCCACTTCTGAGCAAAACCAAAATTTTTGTAAAAAAACTTTGTTAGATGATGACTTTGGGAACTTTTTCTCTATCCCCATCTTATTTCTAACATTCCACAAACTCCAAAGGACAATAGCCAACATGAAAAGTTTTATATGATAGTTATTCCCTCGCAAAGGAATCCATTTGTCAAAAACAACTTGCAAACTAGAAGGCATCCTATCCCAGCCTAAAGCCTCCTTAAAACAGAACTAGACAATGGAAGAAAATGTAATCTGTTGTCTCATTCACCCCACAAAGACAGCATTTTTTTTTCATTTCCATTCTCTTTTCTTGAGATTCACCCCTGTTTGAAGTCTATCTTGGACAGCCAACCATATAAAAACCTTGATCTTATTTGGTAATCTTCTCTTCCACAGCTTTATCATTCTTTTTATACAAGACCCCCTTGAAAATTAGTCCTCTGTACATGGATCTTGTAGTATAGTTTCCTGACTTATCCAGTATCCAAACAAACTGATCATCTGATCATCCTCCCATTTAATCTATATTCCTCTAAGATATTCATTAATATTTCCCATTCTCTCATGTCAGCCTCCCTAAAAGCCCTTCTAAAGTTTATGTTCCAATCATCTCCCTCCCAGCAGTCACATATTAAACAATCTCTATCCAGCCTTAAAGGTGTATTTCCTGTAAGGGACCGTGACGCCTAGGGGGGGGGGGGATTAGGCAACTTAAAATTCTACTTCTAACTATAGCCTCTAATTCCACCTAGTCAAAATCTATGCAAGAAAGTAATCTATCTAAATGTGCAATTATGATTTTGCTAGATGTGTTGCTATCTCTACCGCAAAAGAGTTATACAACCTAGGTTCTAATCCTATCAACTAGCCTATCACTAAGCTAGGAAAGGTAAGCAATATAAATGCGGAAGCTAAAGATGGGGTAGAGATGCAAACTCCTGTCGACGACTCCGGTATTTTTAGCGAGGTATCGAGAAACGCTCAAGCTTCTCCCTAGTCCTCGTTGGAGCCCCTCGCAAGGAATACCTCGTAAGGGTCAAGCTCCCGGTCGGGTAACTCCGTGGATAGCCCCGAGCCTTCCCCACGCGCAAGTGGGTCTCTGGTGTGCCTTCCGGCAAGCCTCTCCCGGACCGTTCCCGCCGTCTTCACTATCAAGCTTCCGGCCGAACCGCCGCGGGCCTTGTTCCCTTCGGTACACGGTGGCGGCCACAACACAAACACGGTTGGTGTGGTCTCGCAAGACTACAAGCCCCGCTGAGTACAACAATGGTGCGCGCAGGCACCGAGTGGCAAGAGATGTGCAAACCTCACAGGACACCTAGTTGCTGCTTGGGACAGCTGAAGAATAAATGCTCACTAGTTTCTTCGATGTCAATAACCCTCTTCAAGAAACTTATTCCTTCTTCTCAGCATATTTCTAGTATTCAATTTATCATTCAGCAGAAGCCAAGCAAAGAACTTGATTTTTTGAATACATTTGGCCTTCCAAATCCAAGTGATAGCTCTGGGTGGATGCAAGGAGGCAAAGTGGTACTGATAGAACTTGCTGGAAGAATAAGACTGGCGCCCCCAGATGAAGTTCCAGCAATCATTCTCCTCGGGAGAAACATGCAGCAGTATGGAGTGATTATTCTGTAGGTCTAAGAGCTCATTATATGCTTACCTGGACATAGGGATCCTGAAACAACTTAGAAGTGATTCAGAGTTTCTTGATAGAAGGTTAAGCCAACAGGCTTAGCATACTTGATTTGAGGTACCAAAGGGATTACAAGTATATAGGGGCCCAAAGGGCTTGACCAGTGCCGCATTCACACAGGAAAGGGCCTAACCGGTAGAGTGAGTAACTAGATATTCTAACACCCCCCCCCTGCAGTTGGAACATTGCTGGGACGAACGTTCAGACTGGAGCGAAATTCCATGAAGACAGAAGAAGGAAGCCCATTGGTGAAGACATCTGCGTACTGCGACGTTGTGGGAACATGTAGGACGCGGACAGTGCCAATGGCGACCCGTTCACGGACGAAGTGAAGGTCGATTTCCACGTGCTTGGTGCGTTGATGCTGAACGGGGTTGGTGGAGAGGTAGACGGCGCTGACATTGTCGCAGTAGATGAGGGAGGTAGTCTTCAGGGGGTGGTGCAGTTCCTGTAGAAGTTGCTGCAGCCATGAAGCTTCGGTGACGCCGTTGGCAACAACACGGTACTCGGCTTTGGCACTCGACCGAGAGACAGTGGGTTGCCTTTTGGATGACCAGGAGACGAGGCTGCCACCGAGGAAGACAGCGTATCCAGAGGTGGAGCGGCGAGTGTCCGGGCAGCCTGCCCAGTCAGCATCAGTGTAAACTACGAGCTGAGTCGGGGCAGACCGGGGGATGACCAGGCCATAGCTGATGGTGCCCTGAAGGTAGCGAAGGATCCGCTTGGCAGCGATCAGGTGAGTCTCTCGGGGATCATGCATGTGAAGTCAAATTTGCTGGACGGCATATGCAATGTCGGGGCGGGTGAACGTCAGGTACTGGAGAGCACCTGCAAGACTGCGGTAGGCTATGGGATCATCCACAGGAGGGCTAGCATCTGCAGATACCTTGGCACAAGTGTCGACGGGGGTAGAGCAGGGATTGCAGCCGCTCAGGCCATGTCGATCAAGGATGTCCAGGGTATATTGGCGCTGTGAGAGGATGAGAGTGTCCCTGTGTCGCTGAACCGCCACGCCCAGGAAGTGATGCAAGGGACCAAGGTCTTTCATAGCAAATTCCTTCTTCAGGGCAGCAATCATACGGAGGAGGAGTTGCTGAGAGGAGGCAGTGAGGACGATGTCATCCACATAGAGGAGCAAATATACTATCTCGGTGCCGCGTCGGTATATGAACAGGGAGGTGTCTGACTTGGCTTCAGTGAAGCCCAAGGTGAGCAGGTAAGCGGCAAACCGGCTGTACCACGCACGGGGTGCCTGCTTCAGCCCGTAGAGAGACTTGTTGAGCTTGCAAACATGGTCCGGGAGAGCAGGATCAGCGAACCCGGTGGGCTGAGAGCAGTACACAGTTTCTGACAAAGTCCCGTGGAGGAAAGCATTCTTCACGTTGAGTTGATGGATCGGCCAGTCCCGAGAGTGTGCCAAGGTGAGGACAGTGCGAACGGTGGCTGGTTTGACGACAGGGCTGAAGGTCTCGTCGTAATCAACACCGGGATGCTGTGTAAATCCGCGAAGGACCCAACGAGCCTTGTATCTTTCCAAGGAACCATCAGCATGAAACTTGTGTTTGAAAATCCATTTTCCAGTGACCACATTGGCCTTGGCCGGGCGAGGGACAAGATCCCAAGTGTGGTTGTCCAGAAGAGCAGCATGTTCTTCTTCCATGGCCCGACGCCAATGCGGATTGGCAAGAGCATCGCGACACGACCGCGGTACCGGTGACAGGGCCTCAGTATGCAAGGCGAGACGAGGCTGCCGGTACCCGGACTTCCCGCGGGTCACCATGCCATGGGAGTTGGCGACCGGAGGGATGGAGACGGCCGTTGTCGGAACCGGAGGGCCGTACTTGACATAGCGTGGCGAGAGAGGGAACAATGCTGGAGCGTCGAGGAGGGCCCCCCGCAGCGGGCTCAGAAGGTGAGCCGGGTGCAGGAGGGCGCCTGGAGTAGACGTGGATGACAGGAGGCTTGCTGAAGGAGGGAACCGAAGGCTCTCGAGGTAAAGCGGGCGCTGGGGCACCGCAGAGGCGAGGCTCTGATCGGGGGCCGAGAAGTCTGCTGGGTGCTTAGGGCTCCGGGGACGAGGCGCCACATGGCACATGACGTGCCGGAGGTGCCGTGGGCGCGCCCGGGGGTACCAGAGACTTCACAGGGGATTGGCGTCTGTGATCCGGTCGCAGGGCGATCAATGCCCGAGGAGACGGAAACTGGTGGAGGCGATCTGGCGTCGGTGCCTGACCAACCATCGGGGTGGTTGGTGGGCGATGGTGGGGGCCGGGCATGTGGAGGCGTGGGTCTTGGCAAGGAGCCAAGCAAGCTGAATGTACCCTACTGGTAAAGGGAAGACTGCGGCGGGGTCATCATTAGTTAGAAAATCAAGCTCTTGTGGAGGAGGTGAGGGTCGTGAAGGAGAAAGGAAATGTTGTTTCATCGAAAACAACATGCCGAGAGATGATGACACGGTTGGT